TTTCCAGACGAGCCATCCCTTCCCTGCACAACCAATTGGAGGACAAAATCAGGTGTGCACTGCGCAACGCCATCTGTGGCAAGGTCCACATAACCACACACGTGGATCAGTAAGCACGGCCAGGGACGCTATATCTCCCTAACTACACACCGGGCAAATGTAGTGGCGGCTGGGCCTGAGGCGGAGAGCAGTTTGGTGCATGTCCTTCTGCCACCGAGGATTGCAGGGCATTTCTCTTTGCCTCCTTTTGCCTCCTCCTACTCTGCTTCCACCTCCTCTACCACCTCCTCATCCGGTCAGCGTAACACCTTCACCACCAACTTCAGCACAGCCAGAGGGAAACTCATATGTTTGGGGGGAAAACCTCACACCGCGCAGGAGCTGTGGATGGCCATGGAACAACAGACCGATGAGTGGTTGTTGCCACTGAGCCTCAAGCCCGATAATGCGATAATGGGCGAAATCTCGTAGAAGCTCTGGGCCTAGCCGGTTTGACGCACATCCCATGCCTGGTGCATGTGCTGAATTTGGTGGTGCAGAAATTCATGAAAAACTACCCAGATACCAGATATATTAGAGCTCACCCTGCTGCTGCTCGCCTGTCTGCACAACAGCGTAACTTTGGCCTTCCCGCTCACTGCCTCATACGTGATCTCCACCTTGCACATGCTGGAGAGACTGTGAGAGCAGCAGCAGGTGATAGTGGAGTTTCAGCTGCAGCACGCACTGGTCAGTCGCTCTGCAGAACAGCACCAAAAAAAGTTAATTTGGCCAGCACCACTTCACCACCAATGAGTGGGCCTCCATGCGAGACCTGTGTGCCATTTTGCACTGTTTCGAGTACTCCACCAACATGGCCAGTGCCGATGACGCCGTTCTTAGCCTTACTATCCGGCTTCTATGTCTCCTTGAAAAAACGCTACGGGCGATGATGGAAGAGGATGTTGCACAGGAGGAAGAGGAGGAGGAAGAGGGGTCATTTCCACGGTTATCCAGCCAGTCATTCACAAGTGGCTTGGAGGGTGGGTTCCTGCACCAGCATAGGCCAGGTACACAATTGTCCAGCCAGGGCACAGTTCTGGAGGATGAGGAAGAGGAGGAGGAGTAACCATAACTGGAGCGTGGCTGGGGGGATAGGGAAAGGTAGGACACAGACAATACACCTAACACAGAGGACAGCTTGTCCTTGCCTCTGGGCAGCCTGGCACACATGAGCGACTACATGCTGCAGTGCCTGCGCAACGACTGCTGAGTTGTCCACATTCTAACTTGTGCTGATTACTGGGTGGCCACCCTGCTGGATCCCCATTACAAGGACAACGTGCCGTCCTTAATTCCCTCACTGGAGCGTGATCGGACAATGCGCGACTAAAAGCGCACGCTGGTTGACACGCTGCTGAGGGCATTCCCAACTGACACAGGGGGCTCAGTGGAAGCACAAGGTGAAGGCAGAGGAGGAGGAAGAGGTCGCCAACACAGCTGGTGCACCGCCAGCACCTCAGAAGGCAGGGTTAGCATGGCCGAAATGTGGAAAAGCTTTGTCAGCATGCCACAACAAGCAACACCACCATCTGATATGGAATGTCTTAGCAGGAGGCAGCATTTCAGCAACATGGTGGAACAGTACATGTGCACACGCCTACATGTACTGACTGATGGGTCTGCCACATTCAACTTCTGGGTCTCCAAATTGGGCACATGGCCTGGGCTTGCCCTTTATGCATTGGAGATGCTGCCCTGCCCTGCAGCCAGTGTATTGTCTGAACGTGTGTTTAGCACGGCAGGGGGCGTTATCACAGACAAGCGTAGCCACCTGGACAAGCTCACGTGTATTAAAATGAGCCTGGCATAGTTCCCACCAGACTTGTCTGTTCCTTGTGCAGAATAGACATTTATACTGGCCTCACCCAGCCATTGTTATACTCAAGTGCACTTATTCTTTGTTTTCTTTTTTTATATGTCCCAATATTTTGGGGTCTACCCCAAAAAAACAAAAAACAAACAGTGTTGACTACCTCCTCCTCCTCCACAGCCGCTTCCACCTACACAACCATGGTCACCGCCTCCTCAACCTATGGGTCACTTAGTATAAACTATGTACACAATAGCAGAGACTTGTGAAGACCTTTTCTCCATGTAGTTGAGCTCAGTTTGAACAATGAAACAGAATACCCTGCATTCCAACCCTCTCTCAAATGGATAATTCTGGTGATCCTCCTTGTAACGGCACCCTCAGCATAAAAGGGTTAAACTGCCGTTTAGTAGATCTTCCCTTCCAGAGACACAGGCACAGCTACTGCAGAACACCAATCCGCTGAACAGGAAACTATATGAATGCCGTAAACAGCCGAATAGGAAAAACCATACGAATAGGTTTACACTCCTAGCAGTCGAACTGGAACAGCATACAATACATCCCCCCAAGAACGAGACAAAGCTCCGTGTTGAGGGTCAAGCAGTGAACAGGCAGAGCGGTGGGTTTATTGTTCTTATATACACACATTAGTACGACCCACAGGGTTTTGGAACACAACCAAT